CCCCGGCCCCGCCCCCAGCCTTTTTTTTTTTTTTTTTTTGCATGTGGCCATGGCCATTCCTAGGGCTCTGGGGCTGGTACCTGAGAGAACTGCCAGTGGAGCTTCATCCTCTTGGCTTTGGCATAACTGCACTCGATGAGCCGCGGCCGGCTGTTGACGTCCACCAGGCACCGGTTGTCATCGTCGTCGACTGTGGGGCTCAGGATGCCCATGTGGATCTGCTGACCGCTCGTGTAGTACACATTCTAGGGGTGGAGGCAAGAAGGGAGGAAGAAGAGAGTAAAACACCCATGGCAAAGAGGTGGGAGTGCAAGTGGTGACTCCTACCAGGTAGCCAGTAAAGAGTCAGTTAAGGGAAGACTGAATTCTTTCTAACCAGAGGTCTTCAGATTGTTTTCTATCGTAAGAGACAAGAAAGAGCCCTTACACACTGTGATCCAGCATAGTGTCTGGCCCACATGGCACATGGAGACCTAAAACAAAATTTCAAAGAAGTAAGACTTAACCTCACTGCATGTGATACACTCTGATATTTTCTATTCTATTCTTTAATTGATAAACTTTTTAAAATATGGTAACATTATTTATATTGACTCAAAAATGGAAACAACTCACATCTCTTATGATAGTATAATGGCAAAATAAGTAATTGTGTATTCATACAATGGAATACTACATATCAATGAAAATGAATAAACTACCATTAAGAGTGACAGTATAAATGAATCTCATAAACATAATGAGAACAAAATGAGTCAGAGAAGAATAAATGTTATGTGTTTCAGTTTGAACTTCAAAACAGGCCAAACTATGACTTTAAAAACTAGAATAGTGGTTATCTCAACACATCGGCCATCGCCTTTTAAACTGATTCACCAACCAGAGTCTTTTAGACACTTTATATTCTTTTGAGTCCATTATTTATAGACTTGCTGACTTCCTTCCTCCATAGATATTCTGTGCTGAATACAATGCTTGGCCAATAGACACAGAGAGAAAATGCCAGGGTTATGCCTTTCAGGAGTCAGAATCCCATGCAGTAGGGTATGAGTACCATTTAATTTCTGTTCCCTACTAAGACTGTGTAGAGAAAAGATTAGCAAATGTTTTCTTAAAGGACCAGGTGGCAAATACTTTTGTCATTAAGGATGTGCTGGGAGTCCCACAACTACTCCCAGGTTCGATGATTCACTCGTGGACACACAGGACCCAGCACTCATGGCTATGATCCCTGTAGCGGAAGGAGGCGGAGCTTATTAGCAAAGGAGAAAGGCACATGGGGCAAAGGCAGGGGGAAACCGGCACAAGCTCCCGGGTCCTTTCCCTGTGAAGGTGCACAGGATGTGCGCAACGTCCCCAAAATAAGCTGTGATAAGACACGTGAAATGCTGTTTTTCAGGGGAACCCATTAGAGATTCAGCACCCAGGGTTTTTACTGGGGCTGGTCCCACAGTATGGGACATAGGCTGGTGGCTTTCAGATATGCAGAAGGAAAGTAGGTGTTCAGCATAAACCACATTGTCTGTGCAAGTAATGTGGGCACAATGAGTTCCTCTTTTCACTCCTGGTGGGAACCCTTTTGGAATTCAAGCTCCCAGATATCAGCCAAAGGCCAATCTTATAAACAGGCCTTTCAAAAGACAGTAGTCAGGCTTGCTGTGTGAACTCCTTTTTGCACAGATGGCCACACAATCTCTGAAACCCAATTCTATGATTGAAGCACAAGTGCACCATTGATATGAATGGCTGTGTTTCGAGATCACTTTATTTACAAAAAGTAGGCACCATGCTATGAGCTTGGTCCTGGAGGAGAGCCACATGATCTTCAGTTTTCTAAGATTTTAGTAACTTCCCTTTACTCTGAGCAGTGGTTTCCAATGAGGGGCCTGAGAGGGAAATTATAGGGTTCTAGGAGCTCGTCTCACATGACGTAAGGGGTTAACATTCTGTCTCTTCCCTCTTCAGTGATTAGGCTCCACAAGCTAATGGAGACAATACTTCTACTGCTTTAGGTTAGTTGTGGAGGTTAAGGTAGCTGGATTCCACATGGCTGACTGTGTGGTTTGATCCCACACCTGGCAGCTTAAAAAACATGCCGGGCATGTGTGCATGCATGCTTAAAATCCCAAGAGGAAAAACAAAAATCCCAAGAGGAAAATGGAGAAGAAGGGATTGCAGTGTGGCCACCCCCCTGAGGAGTGATTTCTCACTTTCTCTCTCTCTGTCTCTCACTCTGGCAAGTGCATATGCCCTATGGCAAAAATAAAAAAGAAGAAAAACAAGAATATTCACAGCAGTCTCTCCTGGTATCTTAATCTATTAAAAAATCCTCATTTCCAAATATTTTTGAATAATTTAGAATTTTGATTAGTCCAAAATGTTTTAATAAAAGAGGGTGGTTGTCAAGTACTTTCTAAAAAGTTTATTTATTTCTCCCATGACAGATAGGGACAGAGAGAGAGAGACAGTCACTCCCAACAGTCTTCACACCACAATCCACCCTCAGATGTAGCCAGCCTGGATCTCAGGCATGTGTGCACACACCTCATGTGCACAGAGTCCTTGGGATGCAAACCCGGGCTGTCCCTCATGGGTCCAGCATTGCACTGCATTCTGTTCCTACTATGCCACCATCTGGCCCAATAGGCACTTTTTAAACATGGATGTAGGACATAGAAGAGTTGGGGGGTAAGAAGGGCAGAGCAGGTGAGGAGGGTAAATAAGGAGAGGCATGTTCTTCCTGACCCTCAAAAGTCTCTTTAGGCCTTTAGGAAGGGGTGGAGGGCAGTCAGACTTTCCCTCAAGCCAGTGCATCAGCCAAGGTCAACGACAAGCAGATGGCACACTGGAGATGGGGAAATCTGGGGAGGGTATATAAAGGCACCATTTTCAAAGATGTGGGTGTGCTGTCAGGGAAGCACAAGGGAGAATATTATCTCCTGAGAATAATAATCTGGAACTGTTATCACCCCTGGACCCAAAGGGATGAGAAAAGAAGGTAGTTACCAGAACCCATAAGAGAAGAGTTATGTGAAAAGCACTGACTTGGGAGGAAGGTTGGGGTAGTGGTGAGAGGTATGAACAAGCACCCCAACTTCACCCTACCATCTTCACTCTGATTTTCTCCTGGCTCAGTCCATGAGCAGAACCCAAATGGAAACCAGAGAACATAGGAGGCCACTGAAATGTCTGATAAACTCAGGCTCCTGGGGTGGGAGGAAAAGAGTGGAGAGTGTCTAGAGGGACAAACAGAAGAACCCATTGCCAATAGGACCTGCTCTTGGAGGTCACCTGAAAAGTTAGCAGGCTTGGCAAATCTTGGACATAGACATCAAAATCACTAACACGAGTCTTCCCATAGCAGAGGTGAAGGCTCATAGTAAGCAAAATTCTGAGCAGAGGCCTGATGTAGAAACATAACTTAGAATATGGAGGCCAGGGAACCTCTTCAAAGCTACACCCAGTAAGAGTGGGCTTCTAATCAGAATCCTGAGACCATCCACTGTGTGGCATGGATTTCTGGATTTCCTTTTCAAGGAAAGTTGATGACCTGATGTGGCATCCAGTTCATTATAGCTGAGGGAGAACTTGATGACTTTAAACAAGTGCACTGATAGCCATCACATGTACACATCATCCAACAAACAGATAACCTCTAAGCTGGCTTCTGGGGAAGTAGGAAGAAGGAAGCCATGGTCTGCCTCCTGGAAGAGGGAACCACTACATGAGGAAATAATGGCCCTCATCACACTAATATGAAAACCATGCCCACTTCCTCCATTCACCTGCTCTGCTTTTTGCTATTGGGTTGTCAGAAAAGTTATAATGCATCTTTGTATAGAAAAATATATCATGACTTTTCTAATGACCCAATACTTTGAAAATAGGAATGAAAACTCACTATCTTCCTTGAGTATTCAACAGTGTGAACATCAGCCTGATTCCTTCCAGGGCCTCTCCAAAAGGTGCTCACCTGCTTATGCCTTTAGGTTGAATGCACCACAATCACCTCAGGACAGTATGGCTCTCAGTCACCTTGTGATTCCCTGAGCTGGGGAGTGCCAGCTGCCAGAGAAGGACTTCCAGGGAGCCAGTTGCCTCCATCCCTTTCTTCTTCCCTGTCATCAGGGCCTGGCTCTTGTCTCCAGTGCAGGCTCCACAGATGCAGCAGCCACCCAGGTAATAGCTGAAATCAGTTTTATCCACTTAGCTGCTCTAAAGTGTTTGGGGAGATGCTCTGAGAGACAGGTGTGCACTTACTACCTGGTACAGCTGTCATCAGAGCTGCATATTGCTCCAGAATCTGGGAAAATCATAATAGGGACAGACAGTTGTTTGTTATTTACAAAGCAAACAAGAAAGTGCCTCCTGGCTGCTGTAACCATGAAGCTGACAGATCACAGAGAGGTTCAGCAAAGAGGATCTCTCAAGTCCTCACTCGGACACTTCAGAAGCTAGCAGAGTGCTGAATCAACACAAGGCTTGAACACAAAAAGAGGAAGCAGTTTTGTGCAAGATGCCCCCATTTTCAGTGCCTGCACGCACAGCAATTCTTCCTGAGCAATGGGAAATCTTAAAGATTTAAGTGCGAGGGAACTTAGAACTGTGATCCTCAAAGGGGGGCCATTTTGCCAGCGACGGATGTTTGGAATGTCTGGAGACATCTTGGTTGCTACGGCTGGGGAAGGTGCTTGTTATCGGTGTCCAGCAGGCAGAGGTCCCGGATGCTGTTTACCATTCTACAATGCGCGGCCCTCCGACAGCCAAGAATGATCTGACAACAAAGGCCAGTAGGGACGCTGTTGAGAAACCCTAATTCACATGGCAAGTAATATAAGTTGAAATATCTTTAGCTCCTACAGAGTGCTAGCCATGAAGTGACTGACATGTGCTCTCATTTTACCCTAATAACTCTGTGCACCAGGTACTGCTATCTCTCATCTTGTAGACGAGGAAACTGAGGCACAGAGAAATTAAGACATAGCCAGAGTCACGCAGCTGGTGGATGGTAGCTGAGATTTACAGAGGTAGTTTGACTCCAGAGCCATACGTGAAACCACTCATCTCACTCACCTGCCCCGAGGATCACTCCAGGGGACATGCTGGAGGGGAGAAGAGGGACAGGAGATGGCCTCCATTGGGATCCCTTTGAGCCAGGGTTGGAGCTTGAACTAAGAGTACAGGAGGGCTGGAGGGGCCTTCCCTACAAGGCCAAGGATAAAAGCTGGTCCAAACTGCTGAGGCAGCAGCGCGTCCTGGAAGTCTTACAGAAGGCCGACGGCAGCCGTTATCCTGTCTGGATGTTTTACAAACCCCTGGGGCATGGAAACACCATCCCGCCACTCCGCTCCTCCTCAGCTGATGATTGATTCGGCTCATTCTCAGCGCAGCCCCATATAGCTCAGCAGGGCTGCACACCAGACCACCGGCATTTCCCTCTGATGTTCGCAGGAGAGAGAAAAATTGCCAGTGCGGCAAAGGAACAGTCACACCTCGGGCCTCGCACCAGCAGTACTATCCTCACCTCTGGCCCGGGAGCAGGAGGAATGACCCGGAGCTAAGCTGGAAAGCTGGCCAGGGAACCCCCAGTGGCCCTGCTTACACACTGCTGTCCTCGGGGTCATGCAGCCATGGCTGCCAAAGACCCCTGGAATTGGAGGTCCCCCTTGCTCTGTTTGACCTCCTGATGAGTCCCTCGCCCTGCCTGCTGGGGATGCAGGCACACAGTGTCCTTAGCAGCCCTTCCCATCCCAGCAAGGGCCTTCCTCAGGGTCCTCTCCTCATATGTATCAAATGTCACCTCCCTGATAGAAACTGTCATTAGCTGTGGAACAGCCTCAGGAAGGGAAGGAGAGGAAAACAAACATACTTTTTGTGCACCCATGAGCCAGGCTCTCTGCTGGTGCTTTCCATGCCTGTGGTTCCTTCCACTCTCAAGGATAAGGAAACGGACTCTGAGGGTTTAAAATACTCGTGAAGGTACACAGTAGGCAGTTGCTCTCGCCGCTCCCTGCCTACAGCAAACTTTCAAGGCAGGCCCAGTTCTCATCAAGTCATGGCCTGCAGCTCCCCTCCCCAAGTCAAGTGGCCCAGGTGGTCCTGCCCATTCCTCATCAGAGCCTCCCCTGAGCCTGAACTGAAGCCAGGGCACCACGTCCACCCAGTCTCAAAGCCTCAGCTGAGGCCTATGGGGCGTAAGAGCTTGGCTCCCAAGAGCCATCCTGAACTTGTCCCTGTGAGCCAGCTGTGGATTTGTCAGGGCCATTCCCTCCAGCTGTTCATGCTGAGCTCTGAGGCACCAAAAGCAGGTCTCAGGAGTTTGGGTGGGCTTCTAGGGGTCTTCTTTCAGCCCAATCATGGCATTTCCTTTTTGTCTTTCTTATAGTTGGCATTCATGTAACATTTTTTAAAAAGTTTATTTCTTCCATGAGTGAGAGCAAGAGAGAAAGAGACAGAGAGACAGCATACCCAATAGGGTTTCGATGCTGCAATCAACCCTCTACCTCAGTGAGCCCTGGACCATGGGCATGCATGGGCTCAGGAAGGTCTCCAGATGCAAACCCAGAACCTTCCCATGTGGGTCAGTTTTGTAGCGTGTCAAATTTTATTGCTGTGCTACCCTCAGGCCCTTATATAACTTTTTGTTTGAATAAAAGTTAATGAAGAATTAGGAAAAAAAAAAGGCATTCCACCAAGAGGAGAAAGTCAAGACTTAATATATTATCTTTGTTAGTTTATAACCTGCAACTGGAATTTGCAAAGTTCCATGAACTTCCTGCCTCCAACTTCCAGCACACTCTTACTCTCTTGCATGCTTTGATATGGCCATCTCATATATTTTTAGTCATCTACTCCCTTCTATCCAGATTTTGATAACTACCTCATACCTTAGCCTCTGTGGAAATTCTGGAACCCTGCCCCAGAACAGAGGCTGAGAGGGAAGAATCGTGGGGTGGGCAGAGGGAGTGGGGGGAGGACTTCTCAGACAAATTAGGAACATGGAGTGACATGGGCTTAGTTACATGATTTAATATAAACATTTTCAAGTCCAGCTGTAGTATTAGTTCTCTTCCAATCAGTGGCCATGTAAAGTCTGAGCAGCAATTTTTCCTCCATTAAGTGATGTTTCCATGGCAACCCCATTGGCCAAGGAGTGGGTGCCCTTGAAAAATGAGGTAGCTTAAAGATATTGAAAGATGCCCTCCTGTTGGAACCTGGCATGGATGGCAGTCCTGGTATTTGACTGGAACCTTCCTGGACCTGGGCATGGGTGAGAGGGTAGAAGGCGGAGCACCCTTAGTGGGCTACTCTTTATAAGAGGCTCTACCCACCACAAGGGAGAAAACAACTCTATGTGCTGGATATTTTCACAGGAAAAGTGGCAGGGATGAGCCAGCATCCCTGTGAACACTTCTCTAGATACCTGTGAGGCAGGCCAGTTTAAGGGTTAGCAGGACTGTAGCCATTTTGAAATTATGAAAAGCCTCTAATGAGAATAATTTGACCAAGTGCTGAGTCATGGGGAGATCTGTTTGAGGAATGGTCAGACCAGAAAACCAGGAATGGGCATTAGAAGCAAACAGGACTCAGGATAATTACTCAGGCAAAAGTGATAGACTCTGATCAATAGCAGAGAGGGGTGATTTACCTGTGTTTGTATCTTAATCTATGGGGTTGTTGGAAAAGCCATGACATATTTTTCTATGCAAAAATGTATCATGACTTTTCTAAAAACCCAATATAAATATTGAGAACATGCTTAGCTTTTGAGGCAGTTTGATGATGTTTTCTGACTGTCTCCCTGTGATCAATTACAGAAATAAACACCCTTCTTCTCCAGCCTCTGACTCTGGTTTCAAGACTGCACCAGGAATTATTTGGTTGGTAACTTTTGTAAGGGATTTATCCTCCTAGAGGATTGTAGCAGCCCAACAGAATAAAAATCTCAGCACTCTGTGGGGGTAAGGGTCATATGGGAGTGTGGGGGGCTATGGTCTGACACAGTCTAGGAAGTTAAAGATCACACACGATGGCATGATTGCAAAGTGTTACAATGGGAGCTTGGTAGGTCATTGAAGGAACAGCCAAGCTGTGTGCTGGATCTTGGAAGAGGAGAAGAATCACACAGAAAATAAAACCAGAGGACAGAGGAACGACAGGATACACTCCTAAATGCAATCAAGACTGGGCTGCTATCTTAGAGGTGTCATAGACTCAACTGGGGAGCATAAAACCTATACACCTGAGTCTCAGGGTGGGAGCTAGGCATGGGGATTTATTCCAGGTGATTTTAACCTCCACACAAGGTCGAAGAATAGCTGTATTCAACAGCAAGGAGACTTTGGGAAGCCTGGGGAGAAATGGAGGCGTAACACCAATCACCTCTTGGATTCTAGTTTAAGAGCCATATCCTGCAGAGACTGATCCAGCTTGTTCCCCCATAATGAGGGAAGGGGGATTGCCTTGTTGTAGGGGACGAGTTGGATATCTTTTTTCAGGGCGCTGATTTTAAAACTCTGAGGAGCATGGCCAAGAGGTTAGAAAGCACCATCATTTAGGATGATGTTTCTCAAAGTGTGACCTTAGCATTATCCAAGAACTTGCACATTTTTTTAGCCCAACCCCAAACTCACTGAATCAAAAATTCAGGAATCTGTTTTAACAGGCCCTTCAGGTAAATCTGATGCATGCTAATGTCTGAGAACCACAGGTAGCCCAACCCCAAAGCCACTGAATCAGAAATTCAGAAATCTGTTTTAACAGGCCCTACAGGTAAATCCGATGCATGCTAATGTCTGAGAATCACAGGTCTAGGAAGAAAGTAGCCCGGTGGGACAGAAGTCCCAAGTCAGATGGACCTGGGTCTCTACTCCATGGCTCCACCCCTCACTTCCCAGTTGGGAATCCATTCTGAGCCTCCATTTCTTGACCTGTAAAATGCAGTTGTATGAGTATTAAAATACTCATAGCTCCTAGTCTGGCCAGGAACTACAGGACAGGGACAAGGCAGGCAGGGACCAGGGTATCTGTGGGACAAGAAGAGCCCCAGAAAGGTGCGGATGCTGGCACAGCTGCAGTGCCCCGATTCTGCTCCTCTCTGCAGCCCCTGACCCAAGACTGGCCAGGGTTCACAGGACAATGAGCGGGGTGCCAAACATGGCAAGTGGGCAGCAGGAGGTGGAGCCTGGCTTTATTAAACTTCAATTTACAGAGCAGTGACTGTCATATTCAGAGTGTAGACTAGAAATTGGCTCTTTGTCCTCTTTACCAAAGAATGAATTTCAGGCCTCCCTGCAGAAGGGACAGGCTGATTTAAGGGTTTGGTTATTGGTCATTAACCCTTTGACACAGAGGTTCATTATTGTGCTGAAGGCCATAGAGCCCTGATGCTAAATCAAGAATGAAGGGGAGTCATTTCCAAAATGACTTTCTGTTCAGAACCACAGCACTAGGTCCATCTGGGGAATAAAAAAATAGATTTGTACTGGCCTTATGATGGTGGTGCAGGCGGTAGCATACTGGACTGTAGTGGTCAAGGGTTTGAATTTTGAATTGACTTGAAAACAAACTGGGCACATGAGCCCAAGGTCCTGACAGGCTGGGGCCTGGGGGGAAGAGGATTGCCACATGATGAGACCCTGTGGAGGGTTTTTCTCTCGGGGGGTACATGCACGTGCACTCTTGCTTGTGTGCTTGCCCCCACTCATGAAAAAGATAAACTTTAAAAATCACTTATGAATACTGCCTTACTGTGAAGAAGCATAAGTGTGCAAAGCAAGGTTTCTAGATCACACTTCCTCTGTGAGCTCATTTTCCTGCTGGAGGAGAACATGTGAGGCTGAGCACACAAATCCCCCAGCTTTGCAGGAAGAGGTTTGTAACTCAGCCCATCAGTCAACAGTTGATCTAGTTTAATTCATAAACTTCCTTGCTCCTTAAGGTGCCAGGACTGAGCGGGGCATCGGAGAAGCAGAGAAGAGCAAGATGTGCCTGCTCCTTGAAAGAGCAGTGAACCCAGCAAAGAGGCAGACACGCAGAAGGGTGGATAAATATGTTCCCAGCCAGCTTGTCATGGATGACTGGGCAGTATACTGAAGTGCCCAGAGCTGGAGTGACCACCTCTACCTACGGCTGTCAGTGAGTGATGGAGTGTGAGAATGGCCTCAGAGGAGAGTAGTTTGCCCAGATAACTGACAAGGGCAAGGGGCCCCTGGCAGAAAGAACAGGATATACAAAGCCACAGAGACTTGACAACTGAGAGCCATTGTAGAGAAAGAGGTGCCTATGGGGTGGGAGTGGGGAGTGGGTATAAAACTGGGAAAGCAGCAAGGGAGCTGGAGAGTTTGGACAGAGCCCTGTTGCCCCTGGAAAGCTGTGGCTGCAGACTGTTTCTTCGCTCGTTAGCACTTCAGAGTGCTCTTAGTCTTTTAAGTTAAAAATATCCAAAGGGCCTGGAAAGTGAGCTTGGGCTAGAAGTGACTCAGGCAGCTTCTGCAGGTCTGTCTGGACGATTCCAGTGGTGACTGCAGAGTGGTGGGAGGAAGCTGTTGAGCTTTGTACCAATGAGTTGTCTTTAAACTTGAGACTGAATTGACAAGGCCGAGCGGTGCCTGCCTTCTGTCTCCTGCTGCACAGCCAGGAGAAGCAGCGACACAGCATTGCTGCTGGGCTTGGAGAGTTTAACTCAGACTTGGAGCTGGCGGTGTATCTTCATGTTTACTCCAGACCTTGTGCTCACAGCACAAGTATCATGCCTCTACCACCACCTATGAGGTTGTTTGCAGCCCAGTCAGGTGACCAGGGTCACAATGGGCTTCCTGTGTTGAAATTGAGGGTTGTTAAGCAGGAGTGAATTACCAGTGAGAGACCAGACAAGAGTTACAGGGTACTCCAGATACTGAGAGTTTTGTTTGCCTTCTTATAACAGCATCTTGCCTCATGTTGGTCCTAAGAGTAGGCATGTCTCACAGACTGGCCAATCAGAGTACTCCATTGCCTTGGCCCAGGGATTGGTTCCAGTATGGGCATGTGACACAGTCTAGGCCAATGAAAGTCCTCCCTGGGATTTTCTGTTGGCTGGATCATGTTTCTGGAAGGCTTAAACCTGGAGTTACTTGCTGCTTTCTTCCTCACATAAATCAGGAAAGCTCCTTGATGGCTGGGAAGACTAAGATTAAACACAAGAGGAAACAGAGCCAAAGGTGGAGGAAGAGAGCAGAGAGCAGAGCTTGGCAAGCTTCATCCATTCAATCCCCTAGATCCAGCCCTACCTGAATCCAAAACCAGATATGGACTTGTCAGTCACATGAGATGATAAAGTTTCTTTTGTATTTAAGTTGAGTTTCTGTCACTTACAACCAAGAGTCTTGATTCACACAGACATAGAGGAGATGTTTTTAAAACACAATGGGATCAAACACAAAGATCATCAAGTCATATAGCTTAGTGATCTTTAGTTATGGAGGGATTGTAGACACAGTACGTGTGGTTTATTCATTTGTTATAATAAAGCAAGTCACTGTTTTAATAATAAAGTATTGGAGTTTGAGACTATCCAACTTTTTAATTTTTTAACAAGGAAATATCTCACTCATGTTTTCTTGAAAAGGGGAGCTGGGAGATTCACAGAACCCTACAAAGTCCCTGGAAGAGGGCTGTCTGAATATTATCCATCACATGAGTAAAGGGAGAAAAAGCTGAGAACTTCTGGAGAAGGCTGAATTCCTGCACGGTCCAGGATAAGAAAAGAAAAAGGTAGCCTAGGTTGGGATTGCTGATGGGGCTTCCTCTGTACACAGACTCCTTGTCTGTGTCTGAGGAATAGTGCTTGTAAATTGCCCTTCACCTGTGCCTTCACCCCTCATCCAGATTCTCCTCTTATGGCCCTTCTTCTTATTCCTCCAGTTCTCTGCATGCACCCCAGAGCAGCCTGGTTGCCTGGCTTAGGTGCTTGCTTACATAGCTCTCTTTGGCAGAGTGCTTGGACACAGATGGGAGTGGAAAGCAAAGGTCACATCAGGCAGAAACACACCGCCAAGGGAGAGGTCACAGAGGAGGTCCAAACAATAGCAATGGCCAGGTGGTGGGGCAGGCCCTGGTAACTGAAAATCTGGATTTACTTCAAGGAAGAAAGATGTTCACAGTATGTGTGCTCTGTCAGGACAAGGTCAGAGATGGGGCAAATAGCTGTGAAGGAACAATAGGTAGTGGCATTGTACCTGGGTCTCCAAATGCTTCTGGAGTTTTGATCATTGTATGTGGCATTAAAAGGCTAGTGAACTGGGACCAGCAGTTAGCATAATGGCTATGTCGCTGGATTCCCACGTCGTCGACCGTGGTTCGTGTCCTGGACCCGGTGGCTTAAAACTCACGCCGGGCACGTGTGCGTGCATGCCCAAGATCCCGAGAGGAGAATGGAGGAGACGGGAATTGTGGCGTGGCCATCCCCCCTGGGGGGTGATTTCTTGCTTTCTGTCTCTCTGTCTCTCTCTGTGTGGCGAGTGCATGCGCCCATAGCAAAAACCTCTCCAAAAAAAAAAAAAAAAAAGGCTAGTGAACTGACAGCCTAACTGTCCTCCCAAATGCACCTGGCCTATCAGCAATTCTTAAGACTACCATCAGACATGGGGCATAGCATGGAGCAAGGGTCTGGAGGCCACGGCTCATAATCGTCCTTGGGGTTCAGCTTCTCCTATGTCCTCCTAGAAGACCCATCCCAGGAGATTCCTAGGAAATCCATTCCATCCTCTTTTACAGCATGACCTGGTGTCTGCCCTTTCAATGGCTATGGCAGAGGCCACCACCCATGCCCCTGGCACTCAGCAGTCCTGATGTCATGTAGAAGGCGCTCCTTGGTCACCCTACTGCTCTCTGCTGGCACTCAGCAGCCCTGATGTCATGTAGAAGGCGCTCCTTGGTCACCCCTACTGCTCTCTGCCAAGGGCTTTTTCGTGCTGCAGGCTCTTGCTGGGCCTCTACCAGGACCCAGGAACAGCCCTCAACCAAAGACTGATAAAAGCTGGTAGATAGATAACCCATACTTCTTGCCCTTGGAATAATTGAGGACATGTTCCCTACAAGCTTTAGAGCCCTCCCACAACACTGACCCCAGTGGCCTACTCTGGTAACCTACCAAATTTGTGTACCCGTGATAGACTTTCCTTCCTCCCTTGGCTCACTTCCTCACTGCCTTACCAACATTTCTGGGAATCACCTCCCAAATAAATGACTTACCACAAACCCTTGTCTGAGGGCCTGATTGTAGAGAAAACCAACCAAGATGGGCTCTATTCCACCTGAGGTTCTTATGCCCAAGGCTCTTTGGCATGGGTACTAGAGGATGAGCCTGTACCCACTGCTATATTTGTGCCCAGCACAATCTTCGTCAGCAGTGAGGGCTCATTAGAGATGCCAAACTTGGTACCTCTGAGCCTTTTGGGGACGTCTCAATGATAGGCCACTTTCCAGTATGGTAGCCATTGTGACACTTCAGTCCACTCTGAAGTAAACTCTACTGCACTCCATGCTCTGGATGTCCTGGGACACCATCACACAAACTCCTCTTGCTGGACATGACACAATACTGGTGATGGAGGACACCTTTGGAAAGAAGCATATTTCATCCTTGCCTTGACCACCCGAGAAGGACCAGCATAGGGGTCCTCAGGTAATCTAGCACACATCTCTGGAGGGCTTTATAATAATGACTCAGGCTCTTTGAAGGATCTCTGGCCAGGGGTTGCCCTGAATAGTCTATACTCTGTGATTCTACTACCCTGTCCCTTGGTGAGAATGGAGCTGATACAAAGCAAGGTAGAAGACTTTCCCTGGAGTTTAGAATGTGAAAAGACACAGAGGCAAGGCAACCCTGGGAGGAAAAACTATTTGGGACCGCTCTCTAGAGACAATCCATGAACTTCTACTGCTGAGGCCTCTGGAGCAGCCCTCATCCCAGCCCTTACCCAGTCAACTTTCCCTTTGAGTCTATAGAAAAGAATCACCCCATATTTTCTCTAATAGCACTTACCCTCTATTTTCAGCTTAAATACTTAAATTTGTTTTATTTGTGATTGAGCTCCTCCCCTCAATTAAACAAATACAGTCGGCTGTTCATCAGTAAGTTTTCTATCTTCAAGAAATCTCTAGCACCTGCTATCTGGCCTCTGGGTCTCATTTGGGTCTTTATTTTAGAAGTCATTGCTCAAAGCCCTCTGCTTGTCTACTATAAGCCATGTCTCTCCACTAACAAGCAGCTAAGACAGAGAATGTCAATTGCACCGAGGAAGACTTCCCTTGACGTTCCTCTTTTCTGCCAACTCTGCACCAGCTTGTGACAGTCAATGTGTGCGTCTTAACTACTCTAGCAGTTTGATTCCCTGTTCAAAATATTCACTACCCTGGCCTATGAGGCTCCTCCTCCTTCTCCCCTCCTTACTGAGTTACCATCCATCCCTTCATTATTGTCAGATGTGACCACATGTGCAGATAATGGGATATGAGCAGGACTGACATGTAATTTCCAATCAGAAGCCTTAAAAGCAGTCACATGATCTACCACCTCTCCTTTTGCTCTCTGCCATTGGACCTGCAGCACCCCAGTTGGGGACTGCTCTTTTGCCCCTAGAAGAAGGTGAGATGACAGAGCTTAAACTGAACCATGATGATCATGTAGCATGAGCAAGAAATCAGCATTTCTTGGGGCCAGTCACATAGTGGTCAAAGGAGGCAGGTCTCTTATGGCCAACTATTGTTTGAATCCTGGTCCTAGCTGCTTGAAAAATACCTGTGTGTATGCCTAAAGTCCTGACAGAATGAAGAAATAGAGAAGGGATTGAGGCATGACCACACCTCATTGGATGGTGCTTTCTCTCTCTCCCCCGTCTCTCTCTGGTGAGTGCACATGACCTCTGCAATTTAAAAAACTAGAGAGGGAGCCAGCTGGTGGTCTTGTAGTTAAGGCACTGGATTTCCACATGGCTGACCACAGTTCGAGTCCCAGACCCGGTGGCTTAAATATACCAGGCATGCGTGTGTGCATGCATGCCCAAAATCCTGAGAGGAGACAGGACTGCTGTTTGGCCATTTCCCCAGGAAGTATTTTCTCACTTTCCTCTTTCTAATTCTCTCTACAGAGAGCACAAGCACCCTATGACAAAAAAACCTTAAAAGAGTGAGAAAAAGAAAGAAACGTTTCTTGTTGTAAGCCACTGGGATGCGGCGATCTTCAGCCTAAGGTGACCAATAAAGAAACCTGAGGAGCTGTGATGCCAACCCTAAAATATGAGACATCGACTCTGCAGCCAGAAGGAGGGTGGTGAGGACATCATCCCCGGAGAGGGGAGAGAGGTGACCTCTTCTATGCAGTGGAGAGGCACTTGGCCCAACTGTTGCCTGCATTATCTTGGTAGATGGATACCACGGCTAACGAGCTTGCACTGCAGATAAAGAGCATGCCTTTGTCACTATCGGCTGCTTTTGACAAGATACTGCAAAAGAGAAATAAGGTCAGAAAAGAAGTGGACATGGCGCATGACCGAGAAGCATCTGTTATTGTAAGCCACTGAGATTCTGAGGTCTTGTGTTATTGGAGCATGACGAAGCCTGAACTGATTGACAACCCTTCTGCTGTGCTCCCTTGCCAAAGAAACACACACACACAAAGAGAATTATAAAATGGGGTGCACGTGCTTAAGGAAAAAAACACAAGAGACTTTGGAAATATACACCAAGGAGACTTGACTTAATGAGGGGATGGGGCAGGGGATTGAATCAAGAGACCAACTCTGGATTGAAACTGCCTAGTCTCGAGCCCCTGCTCCCACTTTGTTACTACAGCCAACTTACTTACGCATTCACTCTTGCAATTGACTCATCTGTGAAAATAGGGGCTAATAACGGTGCCCACCTCCTGGGGACTGGCAAAATTATATGGAATGATTAGTTCTTGGGGTTAGCTATGAGCAATCCTATCATAACATCAGTCCTCCCTCTTCTATTCCAAGTTCCCTAAGGGCAGGGACCATGTTTGTCTTGTTCACCATTGTATTCCTATTCTCTAACCCACTGCTTGGCACATAATATGCTCAAAGCATGTTAACTGATTGAATTAATGCATTAATAAATGACTCCAGGGACACTTAAACTGTATTCAGCACAGAAATGTATCCAGGCTCACTCTCTGGTGCCTGTTTCATATCCCCCGTTCCAAGTCTCCTCTACACTTTTCTCTATCTGCCCTATTTTGGACTGATACCTCGGATATCACTCTCCTTGTAGCCCTATGGAGTAACAGTTTGGATAGAGTAAGGTCTCTCTCCAGAGTAAGGTCCTTAATATTTGCCTTCAGGACAGTCTGTACCAGGCCTACCCCTTACTTGGTCCCCATGAGAAATAAGGAGGCTCAATCCTTTGCTGGTACATGATAGTTACCCACCATTGCATTAAGAAAAGCTTAAAATATTCCCAGTAAGTTAGGTTGTGAGTGTGTGCTTGCACGCACACAGATATTTTAATGTGTTGTCAGTGTGGGACGTGGACTCCCCAGCAACCTCAGTAATCAGGAAGATGGAGGAAAGAGCATGGTAATACAATCTGTAGGCTGAGATCCAGCAGGGAGAAGTTAGCTTAAAAAAATGGCGTTCATATAGATGAAATAATAGTACCTGATTTTAATCTGCAAATACAAATCTCTCTATTTCACCTGCTCCACACCATCTCCACCTCATCTCCCTTATCCCTTGGGAAAATATAACATGCTTTATTGGGGGAAAAAGCTCTAGCCTGTGTCTTTACTGGATAGTACGATCTTAGGTAACAATGCCAGATGGACTGCACTGTGAGAGAAAATGTTAGAATACTAAGGTCATTTTTTTTTTTGGGAGGGGGGTGACCTTCTCTTGCCACACTACAAAATAGGCATTTATTAAATATTGTTTAATGAGTAAATAATGTTAGTGAGTGAAACAACACTAACATATATGATAAGGCATTATGATATATTATTAAAATGTTCACAGATTTTTTTTCTTATCCCTGCATGCAAACCACTTTGCAATGTGACTCTATAGCTCTTAGCTTCAAAGATGAAGTCTATTTTCCTCCCCCTTGAGTCTGGGTTTGACCACGTCACTTACTTTGGCCAATGCAGTTTCCACAGCAAATGTGACACAAACTGACCTGAAAAGCATTCATGCATTTGTGCTTGCTTTCTCTTGAAGCTCAGAAACCCGTTACCACCATCCTGTGAAGAAGCCTGGACTAGCCTATTGGATGAAGCACACATAGACCCAAAGGCTTCTCACTCCAGCTGACAGTCAGCCAGGCTTCAGAAGCAGCGTCACTAGATGCCCAGCAGTGGACCATAGATGCCCGGGTGAGCCCAGCTGAGACAAGCAGAAGGGGCCAGCTTAGTCCAGTCCAAATTACTCACTGTCAGAATCTTAAACCAATAAATGGGTGTGTCTTAAACCACCAAACTTTGGAGTAGTTGGCTACATAGCAAATGTGTATTAATATAGGTGCCTTGTTTTTTCAGGAGTGTTGGAAAAGCATAGGACACAAAGTGGGTATTTGACATGTCCCTCACTGTCCCTTTTTTCCCTCCTAGTTGAAGAAAAAATAAGTAATTATAGCACTGGCAACATTTTCTAATTAGTGTTTTTGCTATCTGTCAGGAAGGCCAAGTGCTCTGCCCTTATTTGGTCTTCGGAATGACCAAGTATTACCATCTCCATTTCTAAGTACAAAAAAGAAAAAAAGAAATAGAGGTAAATTAGAGGTGAACAAGTGGCAGGTATGAGCTCTTAACTCAGGTCATCTGTCTCCAAAGCCTATCTCTCAACCACCAAAATACCCTATTTTTTAATAAAGACAGGAGGAAAACTTCTGGTTTGACCCCTTCCACATGCAGCCCCTACTCCTGATGTGATCTTCCTGCTCCCAATTGCTCACACACATCCTACTCTTCCTTTAAGCTCCAGATGCAGCTCGTGCAGAAGGCTTCCCTGACCTCCCGAGGTCACCATGACCCAACTCTCCTTTCTCCTTGGCAAATGGAACTCCAGTTCCTTTCTCTGGCAGTGCAGAGGCTCCTAAAGCCCTGCTGATCCTAGACTGAATGGAAGTGTAAAATCTTAAAGTGATACGAGGGGGATTGAGGTCAGTGGTCAAGAAGATAGTGAGAGCTTTGGAAGCAAGTGCTTTGTCCTGAACAGAAAGCCAGGGACCAAGGGTGAATGCAGTGGATGCAGTATAGGGAGATGTGGTTTCCCCTTCTGATTCTGCTTCCCCTTTCTTCCCGTCCTCCCAGGTCCCATAAAGCTTCCTTGTGGATCTTTCTTAGCCACAGGGTAACTCTAAGAAAGGGCTCAGTAGAAGTTGCATCATTTAGACACTGGCAGAAAATCTTAAGTGGTTCCAAATCCACATTTTATTCTATTACCATTTTCAACTAGTCAAGGAGGCTCTCATCATGTAAACAATGGTGGAAAAGCACACAGCACAGGTTTCCTGAAAGATGAAAGTCTTAGGGCCTGGCAGGTGGCATGGTGGTTAAAGTGCTGGACTCCTACATAGCCACCATGATTCAATTCCTGGACCTGGAGGGTTACTTTCTCACTCTCCCTCTACCTTTCTCTCTCTCCTTCTTTCTTTCTCTGGTCAAATAAAAATAATAGCAATAATAAATAAAATTAAATAATTTTTTAAAAAAGTTTTAAGTACTGAATGCTTTGGGATAAATTTTTTTCAAAATTATTTAATTTTATTTATTATTGCTATTATTTTTATTTGACCAGAGAAAGAAAGAAGGAGAGAGAGAAAGGTAGAGGGAGAGTGAGAAAGCAAGCCGCCAGGTCCAGGACTTGAACCGTGGTTAGACATGTGGGAGTTCAGCACAGTCTATATTCATGAAGGAATGCTAGCTTCAATAAAGGCAATTCACTGAGTGTGTCACTACATTAGATTTAACCTCGGCTGTCTTTTTTTCTCTTTTTTTGTAGAGTTTTTTTTTTTTTTTTTTTTTCTTTTTTTTTTTTTTTTTTTTTCTTTTTTTTTTTTTTTTTTTTTGCTAGAGGGCTCATGTGCTCCCCAGAAAGACAGAAAGACAAAGACTTTAGAAAGCAAGAAATCAGCCCCCTGCAGGGATGGCCACGCCGCAATCCCTTCTCCTCCATTCTCCTCTCTGGATCTTGGGCACACACACACATGCACCTGGCATGAGTTTAAGCCACTGGGTCCGGGACTGGAACCGCAGTCAACTACATGGGAGTCCAGCGACATAGCCATTACGCTAACTGCTGGTCCCATAACCTTGGCTGTCTTTATGCAGCTTTCTCCCCACTTGCTTTGTTCTGTGCTGCTGCTCTAGTTCTTCCCTTGTTTTCCTTCCTGCCCAAGGCTTCTCTTGAGTCTTTTGAAACCTCTTATCAAACTCCCCAAATCTTTCCAGCATGATCCTATCCAGAAAAAGAGACTTTTCCTGTCTCCACCACACATGGCTCTTCCTGGAGGATGCTATCACTAGTGTTTGTCTCTGAATCTGCTGATTGTCTCATCAGGGACTTGAAGTGAAACTGACATTCTCCTCTTCTAGTGCCTCATCTATACCTCAGCTCCTTAACTTAGTATAAAATCGTCTCTTATGGATCAGACTTCAGACACCACCATTCTCTGTCCACTTTGTTCTTCTCAACCAAGTCCTTCTCAACAGTCTGCCACACCCATCAAGGTCTTTGGCATCAGGTCTCCAGCTTCCTTATCCCACAATAAATCAGCAATCCACCCTGTACCTGGCCTCAGTTCCAGGGGAAAAGAGATACTGTTCTACCTTAGACACCCATGCTCAGACCTCTGTTCCCCAAACTGCTTTACCCCTGAAGTCTAATCCTCCACTACCCTACTTTCACCCAACTTCCTTGCTATGGTTTAAATGTATTCTCCAAGGATCATATGTTGGAAACCTAATTTCCCATGTGGCAGTGGGACATGTTTGAGTCACGTGGGTATTGCCCTCATAAACGCATTAATGCCATTATCATGAAAGTGGGTTCTTGATTAAAAAAAAAAAAGAGTTTGAGTCCTCTTGCTCTCTTTCACCCTCTTTCTTACCATGGGATGATGCAGCAAGAAGGTCCTTACCACTTGCTGGTACCTTAACAGTGG